CAAATACACAGTTCATCATATGACTGGGTGCTCATCCCTTCCAAAGACTCCCCATTCCTGGGAACTAGCACACCAAGAGACATGGTGGAAACCTACATTTCTGACCGACCCTTACTTTTTATGCCTGTGGAAGAAGCATCTAAGTATGTGAAACATACATCCACATTTTCCAAAGGAGTAGAATATCAGAAGGATTGAATCAATGTGCCTATTCCAACACATGGATCACCTCTGACTAAGTTCTAAGGAATGTATGATCCTTAGCAAATATACCAACAGGATATAAATATTTGCAAATATTGACATTTTATATCTTTAGATATGGAGTTATACTTTTCCTTAGCAATATTCTCCATATCGCTTGAGTGAAATGGCCTCTTTGTTTTTCTATCTATACTAGTGTTTCTCAACCTTCCTAATGCCGCAACCCCTTAATACAGTTCCTCATGTTGTGGTGACCCTCAGCCATAAAATTATTTTTGTTGCTACTTCACAAGTGTAATGTTGCTACTGTTATGAATCATAATGTAAATATCTGATATGCAGGATGTATTTTCATTCACTGAACCAAATTTGGCACAAATACATGATACACCCAAATTTGAATACTGGAGAAGTTGGGAAGGATTGATATTGAAATTTCAGAGTTGTAGTTGCTGAGATTGATAGTTCACCTACAATCAAAGACCATTCTGAACTTCATCAATGATGGAATTGAACCAAACTTGGCACACATAACTCCCATGACCAATAGAAAACACTAGAAGAGTTTGGTAGGCATTGACCTTGGGTTATGGAGTTGTAGTTCACCTACATCCAGAAAGCACTGTGGACTCAAACAATGATGGATCTGGACCAAACTTGGCACAAATACTCTGACTAAATACTCAATATGCCCAAATGTGGACACTGGTGGAGTATGGGGAAAATAGATCTTGATATATGGGTACTGTAGTTGCTGGGATTTATAGTTCACCCACAATCAAAGAGCATTCTGAACCCCACAAATGACAGAATTGGGCCAAACTTCCCACATAGGACTCCCATGACCAACAGAAAATACTTTGTTTTCCAATGGTCTTTGGTGACCTTTCTGATACCTTGTGAATCCCAGGTTGAGAAATGCTTATCTATACCCACATTTCCCACATTTCCCAAGGAACATGTTACACTGTCCATACAAGCTGTGATAATACTGCTCTGAACTTCTTCGGGGATAATTTTGACAAACAAAAATATGGAGGTTTCAAAAGGGAAATGTCTCCCACCACTGACTTTTCTGCTTCTGTTCACTAGTACTAACAATTTTTATCAGCTGTTTCTCCAGCATTATTCATATCCATTTAACTGTGCCTCCTTGGAAGAATAACTCCAGTATACCTGGGATCTGACTTTGTGTGTTGTGATAGCATGGGACCATGCCACCAGTCCCAGTCCAGAGTATGAGCAATAGTTCATGAACATTATTCTGAAATGGCTTTTTGATGGTGCCAGATATCCAATTAGATTTGGGTGTTAATGATGTTAAAATCAGTTTAGAGTTAAGACAGAAAGCATTGCTCTCACTCTTAACAGGAGCCATGTTGCAAACACTTTCACTCCTGTTTCCAGTTCTCCTGATAATAACGAGTATATTTTATAGAATGGCATTGTTCACTGGATACTCAACAAAATAGAATATAACTTAACCATGTTATCATGCTGATAGTTCGAGTTATCACGGTATAGAGTGAATGCATTCATTAACAGATGAGGAAACATTCTGGTGGGCAAACTTGAGAGAAGTCCATCATTGTTGGTCACTGTCAACCACTCTCCCATGCGTGGTCACTGTCAACCACGCATGGGCAAAATTGGGCCCTCCAGGTGTTTTGGACTTAAGTGGCTGAGAGGGAAAAGGAGGTTGTTAGGAATAGTGGGAGTTGAAATCCAAAACACCTGGAGAGCCCATGCCTGCTGTAAACAGTGACATTCCCCAGATTTGGATTAAAAAGAATGCAGATATCTTTGAATAGTTTGCATTTTAAATTCTAAATAAAGATCTGAAGAAGTCTTATTTTGGCAAGCATCAAATATAAATTAGTTTACGTCCTCAGCTTAAAATACCAGAAACCACAAAAATCACTTTCTGAAGATACCAGTAATCCAATATTGCAAATTAACAAACGATACAATCAAATATCATTGGGTGTCACGTACAGATAAATATCTCCACTCCAACATTTAATTCATTGATTGGACCAAACCAAATTGGCCAAAAAGGCAACTTTGATCAACGTTTTCAAAACACACACAGAAATGTTAATGAATTATTCTTCATCATCATGAATATCTGTAAAAACAGATCATAGGTGTCATTTGTGAAGATGTATTCCTCTTCCCTTTGACGTTGGTGGCAACATTCAATATGGCACCGTCTCCATCTATGAAAATGGCACTTACTGCAACATGCATGTGTGCCATTTGGCAAAACAGTAATTTATAAAGAGATTTATGGAATTTAAATTAAAATTACACAAATCGGAGTCAATTAACTGCATGAATTTGCATATTAATAAAACAGCAATTTCGCTATTGGAAAAAGGCATACTTTGTTTTCATTACGGTGAGACACACATATTCAATGAAAATTCAATTAATATGTCAGCATCTGATGAAAAGGTGGGATATGTATCGATATCAAAAACTTCCGAGGAGAAGATGGAGAAGGATTTGGAGAAGTTTCTTCTCTCCAAATTTGACACTGGACCCATGTGTAGCTTGACCACACTGCCCAGGGGATCCTGGGACTTGTAGTCCAAAGAATGAACTTCCCCAAGCTTGGAAGTAAGCTATTGGCACTGTCTTATTCTCAATTCATGTCACAGATAATGCAAAGTTTGTTGAACTCTTGATGTGGTTGTCTACACAGCTGATCAATGCATTTAATGGGTATTCAATATTTGTGTACAGCTTCTAATCACATTTATTCAATTCAAAGCTATAGTTTACTAACCTGAAAAAAATTCAGAGGTTTTACGGGGATTGAGAGCAATCATATAGGGGTTAAGCTGAAAATAGTTCAAAAACATTGACTTGGATCAGTCAGTTAACACATGACAAACCAACATTTTTGGAGAGGAAATAATGTTAATCCAATCATCTATTCTCATACTGGGTTGTTGTGAGTTTTCTGGGCTGTATGGCCAAGTTCCAGAAGCATTCTCTCCTGACGTTTTGCCTGCATCTATGGCAGGCATCCTCAGAGGTTGTGAGGTCTGTTGGAAACTAGGAAAATGGGGTTTATTTATCTGTGGAGTGTCCAGGGTGGGAGAAAGAACTCTTGTCTGTTTGAGGTAGATGTGAATGTTTCAATTGACCACCTTGATTAGCATTTAATGGCCTAGCGGTTTCAAGGTCTGCCTTCTTACTGCCTGGGGGAATCCTTTGTTGAATAGAAAGGAGAGAACATCAGGAGAGAATGCTTCTGGAACATGGCCATATAGCCTGAAAAACTCACAACAACCTAGTGATTTCAGCCTTCGACAATACATATTCTCATATCGTCCAACAGAAGCTCTTCAGTAATTCAACCACAAATGAATATGAAACCATTTCCTTGCAAAAAAAAAAAAAAGATATTTCCCTGACTTATAGTTCTTTCCCCAAAATCCTTTTTGATGAGGGATTAACAATAACCAGCTACAAATAAGTTAACTACAATTAGTTTCTTTTTAAAACAATTAGGGCATAGCTAAGCTGCAATACAACAGTAATTTGGGAAAGGGATAATGCCACATTTTCTTGAGTATAACTACAATGGGTTTATTGGGTTGTTGTAAGTTTTTGGGGCTGTATGGCCATGTTCCAGAAGCATTCTCTCCTGATGTTTTGCCTGCAACTATGGCAGGCATCCTCTGAGGATGCCTGCCATAGATGCAGGTGAAACGTCAGGAGAGGATGCTTCTGGAACATGGCCATACAGCCCCAAAAACCTATAACAACCCAGTAATTCCAACCATGAAAGCCTTTGACAATACCATGGGTTTAGTTTCTTTTACGGTAATGGAAGCTGCTGGGAAAGCGAATGCGTTGAACAATGCAGAAGGTAAGAGCAACTTCAAAAATAGAGGTATAAATCCAACGAAGACAGCTTGAAACTGTAGATGTAAGTAATTACTTTTTGATACAAACTTTTCCAAATTCAGTGGAATGCATGACCTTGAAAAGTGCAACGTTTGACCTTCTTGGAGAGTTCTGCAAATACAAAGGAATGTAGGTTGAAACACACTTAAAAGTAAACAGCATGTAACTTTCAAACATCACAAAATTGGCTCAAATCAGTTTCTACAAAACCCTAGCATATGACCTAGGCTTGTTTAGTTTAGTTTTGTTTTTATCATGATATTGTGATATATTGAGGCCAGCTCAGAATTGTGGCTTAGTTCAATGTCACATGAAAGGATGCATGGTAGTTTTTGACCAGAAGCAACCTTGACTACCAAACAAAAACTGTACTTTGCCGCAATAAGCCGATGTGGAAAAAATCCGGGCAACCGTTTCATAAAAAATAAATACTTCGCTAAAAAACATTCACATTTTTGTCTTTAAAAAACCTCATTTTCCAGTTCATGCTACAAGGACTGGAGGACCTTGCAACTGAAACGCGTCGTTATTTTTATTTCTGCTTTAAAAAAGAAAAAGAAAGGAGAAGAAATTGGCACAGTTCTGCTATTTGCTCGATGCTTCCTGAAATAAATAGGAATGGGTGGTTGCAGGCACCTTTCAAGATCCAGCTTTGGAAACCAAGGAAGAAATCACGCTAAAGAACCATATTCCCAATCATATTGGTATCAGTCTTTGAATCTTATGAACATGGAATATTCAGTACTGTCACAGAAAGCCCTTTGTAACCCTATCCCGATACCTTAAAATTCCCTTGTATTACAACCCTAACATCACTCAGTTGTATTCTGTCATTTCATGGAATAATATCCACCAAGGAACTCACGGAACATGTAAGGACTCTTTAATTCTTCAATGAACCTTCAAGTTGTCAATGGCACAATTTTCGTACTGGACATGCAACTCTGGGTTTGGCTATTTCTTTCTCCATCTCCTCTTCCAGATTGGGTTTTTCTGCCCCCCGTATCACATGAAAGAAACAAGCTCCTTCAGACCTTCTCTGAAGTTCTCAAGATGCAGGATGGAATAGAGAGTCTTCACAGCGTTCCAGCTGCATTCGCAATACCCCGCTTTTGTGGAGGAACCACAGTTGTAGAAATTCCTCCGGCATGGCATGGAAGCCTGAATCGGGCAAGACGTTGTCGTAATAATGATGACTGATGAAGTTTCCATGCAGGTCCATCGAGAAAGGCCAAAAACCATAAATGGTTACCTCTTCGCACATACCCAAGGCTGCGCTGACCAGGAAGAGGCCCGTTGACAAACGCTTCCCGTGAATGCCTTTGCTCTTCCAAAACTTTCCAATGTCACGCAGGAAGTTTGGGTTGGCAAAGATCACCGTTTGCTTGGCACCAACGTCCGCTAGAGTATAATAGACCCGGAGAGAGGGCTCTGTCCCCGCTTTCATGGAAAAGGCTGGCATATATATGTAGCTCTGGTTGTAGACTTTGACACTGTCTACAAACGCTTTCCGGGACCAAAGAAGATTCTGGAACCTGTTCCAAAAAGAGGATGGGAAAATGAAACGTTAGTGCTGTTCCATCAATTTAAAGCATCTTGCAAACTTTTTTGCAATTACTGACAATGAAGGTCTTTTAAAAATGATATTTCTGGGATTTAGATTTAAAAACAAACAACAAATGGGTTGTGGTAGGTTTTTTTGGGCTATATGGCCATGTTCATATCATATCATATCATATTTAATTACTTATTAATTGCCCTCCATCCGAGAATGCTCTAGGCGATTTACAGCTAAATTGTAAAAGATAAAATACATACATACAGAAATTAAAAATTAACAGAGATCGAATGCTCTAGTAAAAAGCCAGGTCTTAAGTGCTAGAGTAAAAGGCCCTAAGTCACGCATGTTCTAGAGGCATTCTCTCCTGACGTTTCGCCTGTATCTATGGCAAGCATCCTCAGAGGTAGTGAGGTCTGTTGGAACTAGGAAAATGGGTTTATATATCTGTGAAAAGACCAGGGTGGGGGAAAGGACTCTTGTCTGCTGGAGCTAGGTGTGAATGTTTCAACTGACCACTTTGATAGCCTGGAAGTGCCTGGAGCAATATTTTGTTGAGAGGTGATTAGATGTCCCAGATAGTTTTCCCTCTGCTGTTTTGCTGTTTTAATTTAAGGACAAGAGTCCTTTGTCCCACCCTGGTCTTTCCACAGATATATAAACCCATTTTTCTACTTCCAACAGACCTCACTACCTCTGAGGATGCTTGCCATAGATGCAGGCAAAACGTCAGGAGAAAATGCCTCTAGAACATATAGCCCGAAAAAAACCTACAACAACTCAGTGATTCCAGCCATGAAAGCCTTCGACAACACAAACAACAAATGGCTGACATTTAACCCAAAATCTAGTGTGAACCGAGTTCCACATACTGGTAACTATAACTGCCTTTCTAACAAACAAGCTGCATTTATTTTGGTCTCTTCTGAATCCTTTGGAAGACTATGTTTTTATTTCTGAGACTACATTGGTTTATTTTCCTACTTGTCTAGTTGTGTGTGACCTCTTTGCTTATGAAAAGAAGGAAGCTACGTCAAATTTCCACAACTGCCTTAAGTTGACAGTTTTTTACAGCTCTTGCTGAAGGAGCTATTAATGACTGACTAATGAGTTGCCATGAAACCTCATTAGTGCAATCTGGTAATGGAACATAGGAATGGAACAATGGACGACGAACCTGGACTACGCTTGGATGATGAGAAGATTGGGTACTGTTGTTTTTTGTAATAATTGTGCATTGTAATTGCTTATTGGTAATTTATGGATAATGTGTTAAGTCAATTGTTATATGTTGTATGGAACCACTGCTGTTTCTACTGTTTTTACTGTTTGTGAACCGCTGTGAGTCGCCTTCGGGCTTGAAATACAGTAGTATATAAGCAAAGTAAATAAATAAATAAATAAATAAATAAATAAATGCTCTTTTATTTACAAGGTTCTAAATTGCTGTTAATTATATTAGTTTTTAAATACTAAACATTTCAATTTTTCCAGTTTTTGTCTGTATTTTTAAGTTAATTCTATTGGGAGCAGCTTTGAGTGACAGATTTGGAAGACAAACATAAAAAATACACTAAATAAATACATTTGATGTTGAAATGTTGTTAGTGTCACAATGATTTATAAGTTCCTTTACGCATGGGAGTTTATTTTTTTTTATTGCTGCACAATTCTGCATCAGGAGAGTTCCACAACTGTAAGGATTTGATATAAGCTTGAATCTATTGTTACTCTTAACGTGAATAAAAAGGTAAAGGTTTCCCCCTGACATTCAGTCCAGTCATGTCTGACTCTGGGGAGTGGTGCTCATCTCCATTTCTAAGCCGAAGAGCCAGCGTTGTCCGTAGACACCTCCAAGATCATGTGGCTGGCATGACTGCATGGAGTGCTATTACCTTCCCGCCAGAGCGGTACCTTTTGATCTACTCACATTTGCATGTTTTCGAACTGCTAGGTTGGCAGAAGTTGGGGCTTACAGCGGGAGCTCATGCATCTCCCTGGATTTGAACACTTATATTCCGCCCTTCTCACCCTGAAGGGGACTCAGAGCGGAGCACAACATATACATAGCAAACATTCAATGCCTGGGTACAATACATAAACATTAAGAAAACATTTATCTAAATATTAAAATACACCATTTAAAATAACACAATTTAAAACCATCCTAGTCATCCGCATCAAATCCAATTGGCCCTGTCATCTTTCCCATTGTCGCTTCATTGCCCTGTCCCGAAAGCTTGGTCCCACAGCCAAGTTTTTACCATCCTTCTAAAGGACAGGAGGGAAGGGGCCGACCTGATCTCACAAGGAAGAGAGTTCCATAGCCGGGGAGCAATCACCGAGAAGGCCCTGTCTCTCATCCCCACCAATCGCGCCTGTGACAATGGCGGGACGGAAAACAGGGCCTCCCCGGAGGATCTTAATCTCCGCAATGGTACATAGAAGGAGAAGCGTTTGGACAGATAATTTGGGCCGGGGCCGTTTATGGCTTTATAGGCCAAAGCCAGCAGTGTGAATTGTGCCCGGTAGCAAACTGGCAGCCAATGGAGCTGGCGTAACATGGGGGTTGTATGCTCCTTGTATGCCGCCCCAGGTATTAACCTGGCTGCCTCTCGTTGGACTATTTGAAGCTTCCGAGCAGTCTTCAAATGCAACCCCACGTAGAGGGCATTGCAGTAGTCTATTCTAGATGTAACAAGAGCGTGGACCACCGTGGCCAAGTCTGACTTCTCAAGGTATGGGCGCACAAGTTTTAATTGTGCGAACACTCCCCTGGCCACTGCTGCAACCTGGGATTCCAGGCTCAGTGATGAATCCAGGAGAACTCCCAAGCTGCGAACCTATGCCTTCAGGGGGAGTGTGACCCCGTCCAGCACAGGTTGCGACCCTATACCCTGTTTGGCCTTGCAACTGACCAGGAGAACCTCTGTCTTGTCTGGATTCAACTTCAATTTGCTCACCCTCATCCAGACCATCACAGCGGCCAGGCACCGGTTCAGGACTTGGACAGCTTCCTTAGCATCTGGTGGAAATGAGTGATAGAGTTGGATGTCATCTGCGTACAGATGGCATTGAACTCCAAAACTCCGGATGATCTCACCCAGCGGCTTCACGTAGATGTTAAACAACATGGGGGACAATACTGAGCCCTGCGGGACCCTAGAGGACAATGGCTGTGGGGCTGAGCAGGAGTCCCCCAGCAACACCTTCTGGGTACGACCCTCTGTAGACACCTCCAAGATCATGTGGCTGGCATGACTGCATGGAGTGCTGTTACCTTCCCGCCAGAGCGGTACCTTTTCATTTACTCACATTTGCATGTTTTTGAACTGCTAGGTTGGCAGAAGCTGGGGCTTACAGCGGGAGCTCACACAGCTCCCTGGATTTGAACCGGCGACCTTTCAGTTAGCAAGTTCAGCAGCTCAGCAGTTTAACCCACTGCGCCACCGGGGTAACGGGAGTAAGCACAGTAAATCAGCTGGGTTTTTCTACATGTCAATTCACCATATAATTCAGTGTTTCTCAACCTGGGGGTCGGGACCCCTGGAGGGATCGCGAGGGGGTGTCAAAGGGGTCACCAAAGACCACTAGAAAACACAGTATTTTCTGTTGGCTATGGACGTTCTATGTGGGAAGTTTGGCCCAATTCAATCGTTGGTAGGATTCAGAATGCTCTTTGATTGTAGGTGAACTATAAATCCCAGCAACTACAACTCACAAATGTCGAGGTCTGTTTTCCCTAAACTCCACTTGTGTTTACATTTGGGCATATTGAGAATTCGTGCCAAGTTTGGTCCAGATCCATCATTGTTTGAGTCCACAGTGCTCTCTTGATGTAGGTGAACTACAACTCCAAAACTCAAGGTCAATGCCCACCAAACCCTTCCAGTATTTTCTGTTGGTCATGGGAGTTCTGTGTGCCAAGTTTGGTTCAATTCCATTGTTGGTGGAGTTCAGAATGCTCTTTGATTGTAGGTGAACTATAAATCCCAGCAACTACAACTCCCACAGGACAAAATCAATACCCTCCCCCAATCCCAAAAGTATTCAAATTTGGGTGTATTGGGTATTTCTGCCAAATTTGGTCCAGTGTATGAAAATACATCCTGCATATCAGGTATTTACATTATGCTTCATAACAGTAGCAAAATCACAGTTGCGTAGTTGTCATGAAAATAATTTGCTAATTGGGGGTCACCACAACATGAGGAACTGTATTAAGGGGTCACGGCATTAGGGAGGTTGAGAACCTCCGATATAATTGATCAAATTGGTATTTTCCAGTTGAGACTAACCAATCGCAGCCAAGGAGTTGAACATTCATGAATGATGTATAACTATTTGCCAATGTCTTCAAAATACCTCTTGATTCAACGGGAGCGCTAAAGTAGCCCTAGTGCCTTCCTCATATTACAACGGGACAATAAGCATGTACACGGGGTTGCACAATGCTCGTATTCAACAAAAGAGTGGTGTAGCATGATAACATGTAACTAAACAATTGTAGACTTGGACTATGCAAACACAAAGTCGGAAGTTTGACTTAGTTAATCACTTCTTTGAACAAAAGTAATCATTTCAATCACATTCAAATTGTTTCCTGCTCTCTGCAGTCTTTGCAGCAGTGGGGACAGCTGGTCCCTCGGTGCGCTTGTCTTCCCTGGCACCGGGCATTATATCGCCTTGTGGCGAGATGGCTTTGGCACTAATGACTCTATCATAGATTGCCATGGGTTTTTGTCATTGGCAGATTAACTTCAACAGATGCAACTCAGGATGAAACAGACTGAAGTATCAACCTGTCAACAAAAGCAGACAGAAGAGGCTCCCTGCAGAAGGAATGGCATTTACACATCTCTTAGACAAAATGCAAGGAAGCCAACTTTTAGATGGAACCAACCCCATTTCAGCAGATGGCCATGATAGCATAGTTAAGAAACTACAAGACAATGGGCCATAAAAAGCTAAACCTCA